ATCTTCCTAATGCAGGGATTGAACCCAGGTCCTCCTGCATTGCAGGTGGATTCTTTACCACCTGAGTCACAAGGGAAGCCCAAGAATACTGGAGTGGGTAGCCTATCCCTTCTCCAGAAGATCTTCCTGACCCAGGCATCCAACTGGGGTCTCCTGCATTGCAGGGGGATTCTTTACCAACCGAGCTATCAGGGAAGCTCTTCTTGCTGGGCACCTGTTCATCTCTCTATTTAAAATCATCCCTTTGTCTAAAAATGCTCATTTAATGCCATTAGGAAAATAGAATCATAAATGTCTCAAAAGAACATGGAGGTAAGAATCTGACCTCTCACCCATATTATCACTGGTACAGTACATAGTGGAACAGGTTATAGACACTCCTGTGTTTCATCTTTGATAACTTACTATTCCAAAGTACATTTAATTTCTGTCTAAAAGGTGTGAGTCAATAAATAGAGCTTATATTTTTACTTTGCTATTAAGGAAATAAAAAACAGAAACAAGCATCTAAACCAGGATCTCCAGGTCACAGCACATCTTTGGTAGATGTTCAGACCAAGAAAAGGAAAACCTGGCTTGGCTCAGAGGGTCTTCCATACCTGTTTTTCTTTACTGTCAAAGTCTGTAGCTTGAAGGAACATAAAGGAAGGACACATTGTGCTATCTTCCAAAAATTCCTCGAGCTTCCAGCTTACAGGCAGAACACACCCTTTGAAAGCCATCTTCATTTGCAGTTGTCACTGAAAGACATTTCCAGGCTGGAAAGAATGTTTTGTTTTGTTTTTTTCCCCAAGGTATTTAAAAACTGCCTATCCTAACAAAAGGAAAACGTGGCTTCTTCAGGTTACTTCTTCATACCCAGTGATGAATATGTTTTTAATTAAAGCCTGGGCACAAAATTGGGTTTCCTGAGAACCATTGTGAGGCCTGATTGCTCTCCCGAGACACCCACCCTCGTGGGTACTGATGCTAACTGCTGACACCCGAGGCCACTGTGTGTATTCAGCAGTTAGAAAGGTGATTTCTGAGGCCTGGCAGCTGTTGGTGTTAAAGCTATTGTGAGGGAAACAAAAGCCATTCTGCTGTGTTCCCCGGCTGCCTTTGTATCTTTGATTCAGGAACTGTTTCATCAATGAGGTATCATTCTTTACCAGGGAATTTCATGACTGCCCATGTTGCAGGGTCCGCGTGCACTTCCTGGCAGCAGAAGAGAATGTCTGAACATACCTCCTATGGAAGGAATTTGGGTTCTGACCTCTGTGAAGATGCTTGCATCTTAAGTCTGTTAATTGGACCTTCGATTAGATGCCATCATACCACGGGCTATGCTTTCTGTCTTCTTCCCTCTGAACTGCCAGACCCAATCTGCTGCTGCCGAGGCTTGTCCTGCAAGTTAATCAGAGCACAGTCCACTTCGGCAGCCAGGTGTACCAGGGTTAACTACTTTTCTCACAAAACTCCTCTTTGGCCTATGCTGGGAAAATTTCAGAGGGCAAATCAGTGTGACATTTATTTGAAGAGGAGATACTCTTTCACCTAAATGGTATATTTATTATTTTCATTCAGAAAGTCTATCAGTTTAGGAAGTTTTTAGTTGCGTATAAAAGAAACAAACTGGCCTAACTATCAAGGAAACAGGGCGGGTTGCATCTTTCTCCCCAGTGCTTCTTCCTTCCCTGGGCTGCACCCTTGTGTGTGACTTTGACATTCTTCCCGCTCCAGGGGAGTCTGCTTCCCCATCTCTTGGGTGTTGGGCTCAGCCTTGTGGCTTGCTTTGGCCATGAACAATATTTTTTAATACCTTATTAAGAAATAAGTGGGCTTCCCTGATGGTTCAGCAGGTGAAGAATCTGCCTGCAATGCAGAAGACACAGGAAATGTGGGTTCAATCCTTGGGTTGAGAAGATCCCCTGGAGGAGGAAATGGCAACACACTCCAGTATTCTTGCCTGAAAAATTCCATGGACAAAGGAGCCTAACAGGCACAGTCCATGGGGTTGCAACGGTATTTCTTATTTTCACTTACCCTTCTTGCACTTTCGTTGCTGCCATGAGGACAGACCCAGCTCTCTGTCACCAAAAAAGATAAGATAGGTAGGAAAATGGACATCTATATATTGTAGCTGAGTCTCTTTGCTGTCCACCTGAAACTATCAAAACATTTTTAGTTGGCTCTACTCCAATACAAAGTAAGAATTTTAGTAAAAAAAAAAAGCAAAATAAGCTATGAGAATATATTGTACAGCACAGGGAATATAGCCAATATTTTATAATAACTATAAATGGAGTGTAACCTTGAAAAATCATGATTCACTCAGTTGTATACCTAAAACTTATATTGTACATTAACTGTACCTCAGTAATAGATAAATTTTAAAAAAAACGAGAGCCATGTGAAGCCAAACTGAAAACTGCAGAGTGAAGCCAAACCCTGATGAATCCCACTGACATCAGCCTTCTTCCTGGTGATTCAGAGTTACCTGACTCAAAATAGATGGCAGTGTTTTAAACCACTGCATTTTGGGGCGGTTTGTTATGTAACACTGTTTGGCAATACCTGACTGACACTTATTGCTCTTATAACTGAAGAGCCCAAAGATAGCATGGGGTTCAGGTAGGATTTGAAAGGAATTCTTCTATTTCTTTGTTATTCTCTTGGAGCTTCATCCCGGAATCATTTCCCTCTTGGTGACATGACAACTGTACTGTTTCAGGCTTCACATACCCCAAGCCATCTGGAAGGCAAGAGGCTTTTCTTCTTTTTTTTTTTTTTTCCATTTATTTTTATTAGTTGGAGGCTAATTACTTTACATCATTGCAGTGGTTTTTGTCATACACTGAAATGAATTAGCCATGGATTTACATGTATTCCCCATCCCGGTACCCCCTCCCACCTCCCTCTCCACCCGATCCCTCTGGGTCTTTCCAGTGCACCAGGCCCGAGCGCTTGTCTCATGCACCCAACCTGGGCTGGTGATCTGTTTCACCCTAGATAATATACATGTTTCGATGCTGTTCTCTTGAAACATCCCACCCTCGCCTTCTCCCAGAGTCCACAAGTCTGTTCTATACATCGGAGTCTCTTTTTCTGTTTTGCACATAGGGTTATCGTTACCATCTTTCTAAATTCCATATATATATGTGTTAGTATACTGTAATGGTCTTTGTCTTTCTGGCTTACTTCGCTCTGTATAATGGGCTCCAGTTTCATCCATCTCATTAGAACTGATTCAAATGAATTCTTTTTAATGGCTGAGTAATATTCCATGGTGTATATGTACCACAGCTTCCTCATCCATTCGTCTGCTGATGGGCATCTAGGTTGCTTCCATGTCCTGGCTAAAAAATATGGAACGCTTCATGAATTTGCGTGTCATCCTTGCGCAGGGGCCATGCTAATCTTCTCTGTATCGTTCCAATTTTAGTATATGTGCTGCCGAAGCGAGCACGAGGCTTTTCTTCTTAAATCATCACACAGAAGTCCTGAGCTTCACTCTGATTATGCCGGCAGAGGTCACATGTCTATTCTGGGTCATTGTTGAGCAAGGAGGGTGGGATTATACAACCTGGTTTGTATCAACCAGAGTCCCCTCTTAAAGATGGGAGTGGATTGCCTTTTCTCATAATCCATGGTGTGCTTCATTAGATGTGGGAGAGAGTGAAACAGATGCTGGGAGGCACCATCAATGTTAATTATGGGGAGAGTATAAAATCTTGGAACTTTGTTTTGGATTTCTGTTAATACTTTATTTTTCTCAAGACATTTTCCTACCTCGTGTTGCTGGGCTAGCTCAAGCTGGAGAGAGGGGATTTATCCTCTAGATCACACATGTTCCTGGGTGAATTGCAAAGCATGCGACCCACCCCCCGCATGCTGCCTTAGGCACTAAAAAGTAAGTGGGAACTTAGCTTTCCATAGGACTTCACCGTTAAGACTTCCAACTCGTGAGGTCTCAGGATTGGGGACCTTAAAAACTGGTTTGGTCTACTAGATTTGAAGGTCTCTAACCCAGAGGATGAGTTAATGCTAATGTAATAGGAACTTGAACGGGAGACATGCATTGGTGTGGACATCACTCCACCGACTCTTGGCCTCCATTGCTTCTGATGAAAAGTCAGCTGTAAACCCTGTTATTGTCTGGACACACAGGAAGAAGCATCAGATTAAAATTTTGTTGAATTTATGAATTAAAAATTGGAAGCAAAGTCTTCTGATCTTTCTAGTCTGACATTCTTCAAGAGTACCCCGTCACTTCCTTGTAGTAAAACCTTCCCTTGTACATTTCAGGCTCCCACTGAAGTCTCTGCAGGAAAGTGAACCAAACAAATCAATCCATGTCATTTTTTCAAACACGGGCATTAAATCAATCATCTGTTACTCTCTGTGCTTCTAAGAGTCCTCCCTGACCCTAAGTTATTTGAAAGACTGAACAAGCCTTATTATCCAATATGCTTTTATCATTCAATATGTTTGTCATTCAATACGTTTGTCATTCTATAAATATTACTGGACACCTACTGTGCTCCAGATGCTATGAGGGGTGCAGAATTGAATAGAATTAATACTTTCCATCAAGAACCTGGCTACTATAGTCCAGTCATTCACAGTTTCAGGAAACTCTGGACGGAAGGGAAGATTGGGGTCTTTGATGAAACCACAGTTTCTCAGGGAGCAGCTTGCCTGTCTTCCTGTGGGATTATTCACTTTATCATCTCTAGTCATAGATGGCCTCAGTTCTGTATGAAACATCTGCTAATAATAAGACAAAAAGTGATCTAGATTAAGAATTTTGATGTGCACCAGCCTAGGTATTAGGTATATTCCCATATTCTTACATTAATTTATTTGACATTCCTTCCTGTAAATCTCCTTGGGGCTGTGCAGGGGCATTTTTCAGTTTGATGTGCTGATAATATTCTGGTTAAGTAATTGCCAATTTGGGAATGCAGACTCAGCTATGTTTTCCTCAAGTCCATTTTTCTCTTTCTGCTTTTTTCCAGTTGAGTTATGCCTTGAACCATACAAACAGAAAACTATCATTGGAACCTAAAATAACCATCAATGCCAAGATTGTTGTCGTTGGCGCATCCAATGTTGGAATTTCCTTCCTAGAAACATTGGTATTTTGGTAAGTTGTTTTACTTTATTTATTAGTTTGTTTTTAAAGGGGCCTTTCTCTTCCCACACCTGAGAGGGTCCCTTGAAAAGACAGACCTGATTTTTTTTTTTTTGACACCTCACATACCTTACCTATGTAGATTAATAAAAAAAAATGAATCAGAGGAATATTCTAGATCAGAGGTTGGCAAACTCTGGCCTCTCAGGTCAAAGCAGGGCCACCTGCTTTTGAAAATAAAACTTTACAGGAACACAGTAATGCTCATCTATTTATGTTTTGTCTCTATTTTGTTAATACAGTGGCAGCTTTGAACAGATGTGACAGAGACCATGTGGCCTGCAGTGCCTAGTATGTGTCACTCTGATCAATTCAAGATGTTTTTCAGCCTGGTTTTATACTAGTGCTCACTTTTTGGCTGAATTATAAGAACCACCTAGAGCATTTGTTAATGATGTAGATTCCCAGACCTTGTAGACATACAGAAGGAGAAAGTCCCATGGAGGGCCCTGGAACTTGTATTTTAACAGATGTTCTATGTGATCAAACAGGTGTGGGGATGGACCAGTTTTGACTTTATGCATCAAGAACAGGCTTCAGAGGTGGCAGGCAGGCCAGGATGTTTCTTTTGACCCCTGTATTTTGGGTGCCAGGGGACAGAGTACATTCCCCCAGGACAACTGAGGTTCATGCATCTGTTTGAGCTGTTTTCTATTATCCTTGACGAAATGCATAATTTCTGCCCATTTTCCTGATAGGTGATTCCTGAGGCTTCTCAGCTACCCCCACTATCTATCTGCTCAGCGAATTTCAGTCCCTCTTTAACAGGAAGAGCCCCAGGTTATTGTCCAACAACTTGTGTTTGTGGCCTGGTATCTCCACCACCAGCACAGAACTGCCAACGTGTGCCTGACTTCTCTCAGATCCAGGTTACTTTTGTAAAAAGTCTCCACGTGTTTTCAAACACCCTGGTTTGGAGGAACCGCAGACTCCTAAGTTAGGAGAATCTATTTCTTTACCCAAATCTTTTGCTCAAGATCACATGAGAAAACTTTGGCTACCTTTCAAAACTGTAGGTGCTAGGAGGGGAGTGGGCAAAGGGTGCAAGGTATCCCCACTAGCTGAGTGGTGAGGGCTAACAAGGAAAGGGGCAGAGGAAAGGAGCCCTAGAAGGTGTTTGTTCCTGGTGGACAGGGGGAGGAGCTGACCCCAGGTGAGTACTTTACTCATCTGACCTCACACTTAATGGAAGATTTCTTTCACTTCCTAGCCAGTTTGTTCAGTATTCAGAACATACCCTTAGTTAACCAGATATAAGTCACCTGTCTTTAATTTTTTAAATTAATTAAGTTTTGGTTGCACTGGGTCACCATTGCTGGGCACGAGCTTTCTCTAGTTGTGGCAAGTAGGGGCTACTCTTTGCTATGATGTGCTGGCTTCTCGTCTGAAGAGCACAGGCTCTGGGTGCCGGCTCAGTAGTTGTGGCATGCAAGTTTAGTTGCTCTGAGGCATGTGGAATCTTCCTGGACCAGGGATTGACCCCATGTCATCTGCGTTGGCAGGCAGATTCAGATCCCTTGCACCACCAATGAAGTCCTAATTTAAAATATATATATATATTTGGTAGTGCTGAGTCTTGGTTGCAGCACACAGGATCTTCCATCTTCGTTGTGACATTCATGCCAACTGGAAGTTGCAGCATGCAGGAACTAGTTCTCTGAGCAGGGATTGAACCTGGGCCCCCTGCATTGGAAGCACAGAGTCTTAGCCACTGGAGAGCCAGGGAAGTCCCGTAAGTCTCCTGCCTTTATTGAAATTAGAACAAAGTTCACAGGCTTTAAATACTGTGGTCAGTTTACCGCAGTCTTGCATTGCCTGAAAGGAATCATGAGATGCACTCAGGAAACTTCCTTTTCACTGCCTGTGCCATTCTGTAGTCTGAGGTCTTCCCTGTTGTGACAGGACTCCTCACCTAAGATTCTGAACAGCAGTTGTGTGCAGCCATTTTTGAATGATGAATGAGCTGGGTGGAGTTGTGAAATTATAGTAGAGAAGAAGTTATCATAAACAGATCTTAAATCTTAATTTAGCTGTATATCCAGTCATTATGTCTTGTTTAAAATGATTACATTGATATATACACATATAATTTTCTTTTTATGGAATCAACTTAGATTTAATAAAGACAGGTATAAATTTTGATATAAGTACTTGGTTGATTAAATTCCTCAATCAGACAGACCTTTTTAAAGCATTTTAAAGCACTCGTGGTTCTCTATCATCGTTGCACAGATTACGTCCACTAAAAATAGACCAGTATCAGTTTACGGATATCTAATCCCGAAGAGAGGAAATAGTTCTCTCATTATGTTCTCTAATTATTTCAAATCAGCAATCACCATAGTAACCTGCTGCAGATTTTACTTAACAGTTTAACTGCCATTTGAACTGGATTTTATAAATTATTCGAGTTGGAAGGAAATGGAAGAAACACAGTTTTCACCAAGCGCTGACCTCCAGTGAGGATTAAATCTACATTTTGGATGCAAGATTTAGGAGTCGCCCTCCTGTGCTCCTGCTCTGTGTTATTAAACCCAGGTGGGGCCCCGTAGTTCCCAGAAAATCCATCTGAGGCCCAGACAGCAACCTCTTTTTCCAGAAAATCTGGTCATCCTGTCATCTGGTGGCAAAGCAAACACAACTCTTTGTTCTTACATTATTTACATGCAGGAAAAACTGCAAAGCACCTTGGGTCTCCTCTTCAGATACCAAAAGCAGCCCTTGCAGAAGTTCTTGGCCTTGTCATGTTCTTGTTTCCCCAAGTGCCGTGATGCTACTAGGATGTTAAAGTGCTTTGTCCACAGTCACCAGCTAACACATCAGGGGGCTTCCCTCATAGCTCGCCTGCAACGCAGGAGACCCCAGTTCGATTCCTGGGTCGGGAAGATCCGCTGGAGAAGGGATAGGCTCCCCACTCCAGTATTCTTGGCTTCTCTGGTGGCTCTGCTGGTAAAGAATCCACCTGCAATGCGGGAGACCTGGGTTCTGTCACTGGGTTGGGAAGATCCCCTGGAGAAGGGAAAGGCTACCCACTCCAGTATTCTGGCCTGGAGAATCGCAAAGAGGATCACAAAGAGTCGGACACAGCTGAGCAACTTTCACTTTCACCAACTAACACAGATACCTGGGTGTGAGCTCCACATGGTGGGGAGTGTTGAGGGGGTGTTTGGGGTTTTGGATTTTAGTACAGCATTCTGTCTGGTCCTCAGCTGCTCCCCACCCACAGCCACACCTGCTCAGAGGACACCCCTTCCTGTCTGGTCACCAGGCTAGTGGATTGCTCGGCGACTTCTTCTTGTCCTCATGAGGGCAAGGCCTCCTGGGCTCCCCAGTGCCCGGTGACATGACTGGCAGGCATTTCTAGAGACACACACCACCCGCCGTGTGTGTCCACATCCTCCTTCCTGGTGAGTCCTCTCGTGCTGAGTTGAGTGGCCTTAGACTTTCTACGATCTCTGTCGACCCTCCTGAGCCGGCCCTGGCTGGCTGACACAGAGGGGAAAGGGGCAGGGTGATTCAGGGTAGAGGGGAGGCTCAGCTAACTTGCCCCCCATCCCCGCACCCAGGTCTTGTGCATCTGTCTTCTGAGGGCGCTGTGCCCGAGCAACTCCACAGGGGGCAGAGGAGGGAACATGTTCAGGCCCCCAGGCCTCACCTGGCAGGCACATCCTGGCCTCCTTCCCCATCACCCCACCCATGGTGGGGACCGGAGGCTGGGCAGGGGGAGGACAGCAGGCATGCCAGGGAGCTTTCTTGAGGTGGGGGGCATAGAGTAGAAAACCCCCCACTCGTCTGTGGAATAGAGGGCAGTGAAGTGGAGGGGAAAGGGAACTTTTAAGACCCTTTGCTGTGTTTTTCATCATGCCCAGGACATTCAGGTGATGGACATGAGCTATATTAAAATTGTAGTTCTCATGATTGATAGGTGGTGTTTGTTTGTCTGCCTGGCCCTTTGGGACGGAAAGGTGTTGCCTTGGGCAGTGTAGTTGTTTGGTCTTATCCTTCCTGGTCTTTCTGCTTAAAACCCCAAACACTTGTTTTTGGCAGAAAGCTCTTGGCCTCAGCCATCCGCCAACCCTGAGGTGCTGTGACACCAGGAGCTCCACCAACTCCGTCAGAGTTCAGTCTGAAGGGAACTCCCCGTTCTCAGATCAACAGCCAGGTCCAGAGGGGAGCTTCCATCATCTGTCAGGGAGATGCCATGTCCTAAAGGAGAGCTTTGCAAGGAAGTTGGAAAGCTCTTTCCAGAAATCAAGGGACCTCTTTCCTCATAGCCAGTCATACTTTTACCAGCTCCTTGTTCCTGCAGAACTCCCCAAATGCAATGCTTTGACAGTGTTGGGCTTTCTACAACGGTACTCCAAAATCAGTTTTAAAAAAGAATTATGGACATGCTCTACCAAAAAAGGGAGGTGGGATAAGAACCGGGTCTATGAACTCATTTTATGTTTTATGTCCTTTTTACTCAAAAGTTTGGTCTGGACTTCATTGAGATCAGCATCACCTGAGAGCTTATTAGAAACACAGAGCCTCAGGCCCCACCACTGTCAGTGTCCCAGATAGATATTTTATCTTCCAGAATTGTACACAACAGCTTCTTCCTTCTGCCTTTGTCATCAAGCCACTGAGCTGAAGCAGTTACTGTTTGATTCTGTTTCAGCTCATGTGTCTCTATGCCTTGTGTATTATATTATTTTCTCCCAATTATGGAGCAGCTCCTTTTAATCCATTACTTAAAAATCTTTTCTAATTCAATTCTGATGTAAAGAATCTCTTGAGGAGTCTCTAATGGCCCTAGAGAAACGCATGAATGAACCCTGAGATGACAGTGACTGAAAGCGGCCCCGGATGGTGTCCCCACAACTCTGGGTGGTTGGAGGAAGATGCCCTTTGGTTCTTGGGGAGCTCCAGTGGGCACCAGGTCCCCCACTGCCTCGTCTTCCACTCCTGCC